CTAGGAAGAATTTGGTAATCAACCCTGTCTTGGGAAGATGCTGCCAAAATTGTCAGTAATTTATGGAATCCATTGGAATAAGGAGAGTGAGAAGTTAGTAGAGGAGTAAGACCTCGATATGGAGCATGTTCTCCTCAAACATAGTATCGGTCCGTTTTGGCCTGAACTGTGATGCAAATCTGCGAATTCGATTGAAGGCTGATTCGTTCGGCCTGATCTTACTAAGGGTCACCTTTCTGTTATCTTTTGATAACAGGTCGGTTTACGACACAACTTTTCTGTCTCTGCATCTCAACCTAAGACCTTGGCTCTTGTGTGTTTTTATGTTTCTTGGGGTTTTTCACCCAGATTTCTTTCCAAGCGGCCACTTATAAAGACTGAGTACCTTTATTGAGGGATGGTGAAAATTGGTTGGGGCTTGTATGCATAAGGCAGGGTGTGAGTCGCAGAAAGTGGTGAAGTTCACCCCCTTAGTGTGTGTGGTGTTGTTGTTTGAACTATGTGCGATTGCAGGTATACTTATAGGATTCCTTGAATTGAGTTTGGTGATAGTTAAAGTATTGTGTGAATGCGGATGGACAAGCCACACAACTGTTGTGAGAGTGATCGTCTGATATCCACCCAAACTTCTGCTTGACTATTTAACTACCCTTGCCTGTATATATATAATGGTTGTGAGGAGTCCCACTGTGATTGTGAGAAGTGATCATCACATACCTATTTTCCACTGTATATATATACACATACCTATGTTTGGGTGTTCGCATGGCCTGAGGGGTCCACGCTTAAGGGTTTAAGTGAGGTCGACACTGAACAAGAAAGGAAAGTCCTTTTATTGTGGTATGCTTCTTAAAAAAAAATTATTAGTTGGACGTTAGTCCTGGTCCTGGATTCGAGGTCCTTGTCCAAGACATTCCAGGTCTTTGACTCTGCATGGAAGGGATCACCCCCCGCACAAAGCCTATTTGCCCTGTCCACCGGGACACTCGGCCTAAAGGCCGGAGGTGCCGCGAAGGCCGCACAGCTGTTCCTTTAGTCGTGCAATATCGTGAAGGGGTAGACCTTCACGATACTTCGAGTCTGACACTTGAGTGTCATAAGCGGTACTTGACCCCACGAGGAACCGCCTGATTATGGGCACTACATAATACGCCATCCTTGCGACTGCTTGCGTAGTCATGCATTGCTAGTCGATATTAGAAAGGCCTAGCGTTCGCACAGTTTTATCTTTAGGACTCGCGCACGACGCCTAACCGATTTCTTTATTAAAAGGTTATGGGTCGGATACTGAAGGGACTAGGAGAGTTCTGTTTTTCTGTGGGTATTTTAAATTTATTGTGGTGTAACGCATGGTGAGTGGATTGCGTCATAGTCGACCAACGATGAGTCGTGCTTAGGACCCCATCCCCCCAATGCGTCGATTCTCGTGCAGGTCCGATTGAGGGGCGTTGACCTCATGTACCCCCTATGCTACAGTGAACGAGAAACGCCCTCAGTCGGGCCTCCTCTGCGATTGCATACAAAAAACTTTTGCACGTGGTTCGGTAGCTCGGCGGGGATACGCCCACTCAAGGGATGGTGATAGCTCCCGCGGGTGGAGGTAAGACATGTCTCGCATGACCCTATCCTGTCGTAGGGGCTCGCGAGAGGTACGGTTAGCGCACTCGGTCGAAGAGGCAACCCGCGCTCTACGACGAAGTCCTGCAAAATCCTGCGTGGCGCGGCTGGGAGGGTCCCCCTGCGAAACCGATGCGCGCGACAACGCCCGCGTGGATGTTGGTTAAGCGGTGACTGCCCCCACCCCCGTGTGTCATATCAACCCAGTTGCAGTCGGTGAAAGGTCAAAGAGGCAACGAACGAGGCACTGAACAACCAATTACAACAAAACAGGGGACAACATGCAACAACATAAGAAAATGGATCCTAGATGACAAGTCCCACATGCAAGCACCGCCGCTTCTTCACAGGTCAAATGACGGGACAAGACCACTCATGACAAAAGTCTTCTCTGCAAACAAAACTATATATAACACATGACCTTATTCGTCATGAAGACGTGGGTATTCCTATTCCTAAACCATTCATACTATCATAGGCCGAACAACATTAAAAAAAAAAAAAACGGATGACTGGTTCCATATGAAAGCATTGTTGCGCTCGCCAAACTAGACCGAACAGTGGGACAAAACCAACGGGGATGCAAACAAGGGTGCCAAAAAACAAACATAATAACACAAATGAACCTCGAGTGTTACACTGCATACCCAATGCACTCCATACCCAATAAACTCTACGTTCACACGAGAGAGAGAGAGAGAGAGAGAGAGAGAGAGAGAGAGAGAGAGAGAGAGAGAGAGAGAGCCACGACTGTCGGAGTACATGATAGACAAAATCCCATTTCGAAAGGGAGATTATGAATTGCTGCGAAGCACACATGTTATCGATCTACAACACAACCTTAGTGCTGCATCCAACCCTCCCCACGACAAAAAACAGGCCATATCGTCATCGCGGGCCAACCCCCGACCCAACCTAGCAATTCCTGAACCAGCCAACAAGGCACTGGTACTCTGCCCGCCAAATCGGCAAAAGAAACAAAAACTGGTCACGATCGTGAAGCTCCGCACGTCCTCCACATTGTACGTCCCTTCATAGTGCACGTCACCATCTCCTGAAGGCGGTCTATCACCTGTTACGCGCAACCCTAAGGTCATCCTCCGGGCACCAAATCCGAACCGCCCCATACAGGTAGCCTCTCTCCTGAAGTGGAGGCTCCATGTGCGCCACATAGCACGCGTTGCTACTGTTGGTCGCCATGTGCTCTTCGGCGATGGTTGAGACAAGGTAGCGGACGATATCCCCGGCGACATCGGGCCTCGGCCCCAACCATGAGTTCGGGACAATATTGGACAACTTCTTCACGAATAGGACGACCTCCACAAGGCTGCGTTCCCGGTCGTACCCCAGCCCAACCACCATCCTCATCGCGAGGAGGCCATTGACAAGCGCGTAGTAAACGCTCGTGTGGTCGTTGAAGACAGTCAGACCCCAATCAATGTTCCGATGGCACTCCGTTCCCCGTTCCAACCGTGTCTCCTGCACGACCACCTTTTTCCCGTCAACCACCTCCCTCACCACTGCAGATACATCCGACATCTCTCTCTCTCTCTCTCTCTCTCTCTCTCTCTCTCTCTCTCTCTCTGCCTTCGCATGCACACATCTCCTCCCTGCACTACGGAAAGCGGCGTGCAACCAACCTCGTCGACCAACCAACATCAGTGCTGCCAAAGAAAGCCATGACCGTCCACGTATATATACACAGAGGCCGGCACCGTTTCCCGTCCCACCGTCCACACCTCGTGTCCCATCCCTTGTTCCGACACCATGAGCCGGTGTGTCCTGCCGTCCACGCCAGGTGTCCCATCCCTTGTTCCGGCACCATGGTGTCGGAACAACGGACGCGACACCCGGCGTGGATGTCGGGACTGGGAAACGGAAGCCGGCATATATATATATATATATATATATATATATATATATATATATATATATATATATATCGTCACAAACATAACTGCCCGGTAAAACCGTAGGCAGAGAGAGAGAAGAGGACAACAAACGA